GCTATTTTCTTGCCAATTTTAGCATCATTGCATACATGTACCTTTAACATTATGCCTGTCTTTATTAAATTGTTCACCTAAGTAATTTTCTTTGCCATTCTTATAATACCTGTTAATTTGTTTTAAAACTTTATGTTGGCAGATTTATTATGAACTGTAGGATTCTGAAGATATTTTTATGCAGATTTTTTTCTCTGATTGAGTTATAGATTCCTTCCGTTATCCAACGTGGTTTTGACTTATTAATATAACTTCGGAGCTCACACTGTGGAAAATTTTTGTCATACACAATTTAAGAAATTCTCATAGGCCTCATCGACATTATCTAGCGCAAGTTCATCTTAATCTTAGTTAATGCTTACAGGGTATCAAAGAAATGTTCACGTTTTTCTATTTTCTTCATTTGTAATAATAACATGTTACAAAACTTCTGAAGTTTCTTTGTACATTCATTTTAATCCTCTAACTCACTCATAGGTCAAACGATGATGTCCAGAGATTGTATAGGCAGTTGTAGTTCAAATGCTACGAATTAATCTTTTGTTTTCTCTAAAAATCCGGGCGATAGTCTTTTAGGATCAATGAGACGGCCGAGATTAAACGCTCTCTTTGTTTACGTTTAACCATATGCCTGTTTTATTTGTTATGTTCGACTTCATCGGTGTTAGCTTGGGGTCTCAGGTAAATGAACATAGGAAAGGGTCGTATTGAAACAAGTTGACAAATTAGATCAAGATATTTTAAATTCAGAAGGGAATAGTGTGTTCATCAGTGTTATGGAGGTGCATAGCTAGATAAGTAGGTCAATGAATGACAGAATAATTACACTGGTTCAGCCGATTCTGCCGGTTTCGCCAGGCTGTTATCAGTGTGGAAAATAAAATTGGTATCCACCTGGAGTAAATATGTTTGCCCACAGTGGCTAGGGGGCCACCCATAATGAACTGGGGAAAATAGAAAATATTCTCAATGGTTTCATGACAAGGAAACTAGATTTAAACACCCATCTGACAACTCAATTGGCTCGGGACCTGACTTACGGGTACTGAACACGGGTGGCCTTGTGTGCTGGTGGGCTATGGTTACAGGGAACACATTTTATTGGTGCTGGAAGAGGTTTTGTTACGTTGGCATCGATGTAGCTTTGTCGGTAGTTACGGATCAGTATACATGTACGTGCAGCGCGGCTGAGTGCAACCTTCGGCGCTGATTCCAGGGTTTGGGCGGTAGCTACTGAAGCCTACCAAGCGGGCGTGTCCATTATCGGAGAGAGTGGCCTCGGTGGTGAGTGAGCCATCTAGCCAGGAGCTTAGAGTAAAGGCCAGTGGCCGATCTGGGGCACTTTTATCTGATTTCTTATAAGTTGACGCCTCCCTAGCAGTTGCCTGTAAAGGCCGAGAAGAGAATAAACCAGTAGGAAGTGACAACAGTAACTAAGCCTATAGTGAGTGTTGGTGTGCAGTGCCTGGGGGTATATTTCTCCCAAACGGAGTTGCCTCCCGGGTCAAGTTCCCTGTTGCAAGAGTCAGCCGTACGCTACAGTATCTTTTCCTTCCTGCATGGTGCACCATGATCATTATCGGATGCCACGATTTCACACACGTGCAATGTCATGGTGTAGGGCTATATTGCATGGAACATGGTACAATGAATAAGTCCATCCTTCGATCGGTTTCGTGGATAACTTGAGCAATCTTCCCCTAGCAAACATGATCTTGTCGCAGGCCCAGACCGCCTCCAAATATCTCAAGGCCTAGGAAAAGAATCTCCGGAAATGCTGGTCTATGGAGCGTCAAATGAAAAATGGACAACTAAAAACTTCAAATTCTCACTGACAAAATTACTGTCATGCCCCATTTTCTCATTTTTTGGCTAGTAGATTTTTGGGTTTTGGGAATTTGCGTAAAGCATTTTCAAAAACTCAATTTTCTGCTAGCAAAAATTGGGAATTTACTGAAAGAAGTCTTCCTAGTACGTCAAAAGTGGACAACCAAAAACTTCAAATTTCTGCTAGCAAATTTTATTTGATTCTCTTAAAGAGGACAACCCCATTCCATTTTCTCATTTTCTGCTAGTAGATTTTGGGTTTTTTTGAAGTTGTACAATCCCTTTTTGAAAAATATTTTTTTTTCTGCTAGCAGAAATTTGGATTTTACTTTGACGACTGCAGGGTGGTCCAAAATTGGACAAGTTAAAAACTGGAAGGACACTTTTCTCTCTACGTTGAGCATCCAACATTAACGGTAGAGGGTCAATGGTCTGACGGATGGCATCACGAAGATGGCCATGCTGCAGTGCTCTGTGTAAATTCTGAAAACAAACACCTTTGAGGATCAGGCTATCCACTATATTGAGCTTCTCACTGGTGTTTGTACCTCATTCAGGAATGAATGTCGCTCTGCTTATCGGTAGTACAAGGCTAATTAGACTAGGCCAATAAATCTGACAGGAAATGACATCTATCCGGCCGTTCATGATCGTGGTAGTTTAGTGTCCCTACCAAACCTGCATGGCACAGGATTTGGTAGTGTAAAAAGTCTCGGTGTCAATCTATGAAGAATACATGTACGTCAAACTGTCCTCACTTTCCTGTAATTTGAAGACTGGAAAATGAAACACTGGCATACGAAGGTACATGTACTTCGAACAAGTTTCCTTATGCCACTTAGTTTCCTTGAAATGCTAACCCCGTGGTAGTCCCAACAACGATCTCCACAGCGTAGTTTTATGGTTTCCCAGCCACCCTTGTGAGCAATCGCGGAGAAAAGGGAAATTCCAGAGTTTGGTGAAGAGTGATTTTAAAAATGAGGTTTAAAGGCTGTCTGCTGTTTTCCTCAAAGAAATCCACGTTTATATTTTTGTCTCAATACAGCCATGTTATCTCTAGGGAGCGTACCTTTAAGTGTAAGATGACTACTACATGTAGAATTCGTTTGTTTCATATTTGTTGGTTTCACACTTCATCAGCCTCTCGAAAGTTTTGTAGCCCATATAAATGGCGCATTGAGAAAGAGATAAAATTACTTGTCATTTTTATTCCATTTTATCAATTGGTTGTTTCATATCGCTATCAAATAAGTAAATAACATAAATGTAAATAGCAGAGAAACGTGACCAGTGGCTTTGCTGATCATTTGTGTGGGCGTAAGGTCAAATCCTTAAAACCTATAGATGATGTTATAATCATAGCCACGGTCCAATCTACGTGATTTCAATATTTTCATGAGCTTACCTGTTGTGTTCTCTTCCTCTGGCACATCTGTGGCGAGCTACAAGTCTCCCGGTTTGTGCGCGTTTTACCAGGTACAACAGTCTGCCAATTGCTGTTCTGACGACCGCGGTTGTTCTATTATACAATTAGTGAGGATAAAATGGAGGCTTGTCATTGTCCGTACGTCCAGGTCGGTGCACTGGCCGACTTCATACCGGCTTATTGCAGGCCACTGTTCTTTACTTTCTTCAGGAAGGATTTTAGACAGCCTATAAGGCCTACATAAATATGCAAGCTTTCTACATGAAGCGCCCAATCGCGCCGGTGAAAGCCACAGGTGGCAAGGCAGGATGTCTGTGTTGATATAACTTCCTTCCTCATGGGATGAGACGCATGTACACTTTTATGGCGGGCATACGTGACACAGAATTAAAATCAAAACGGTAACTTTTGATTATTTAAGGAGTCGGCTTTCGTTCCTAAATGAACAACAAAAAGTGCAAGGGGCACTCTAGGATAGTAGTTGCAGCTAGGTCTTCTTCGCTCAGTTTTGAAGACACAAGATGGGAGCAGGGGGTTTAATAAGTAGCCCTATCAATCACGTGTTCATACATACAAGGTGCTGGTGGAAACTTTCTGATTGGTCAAACTGCTAAAACAATGGTGTAATTTCGGGGATAACGAATCAGAAAGAGGATGGTGGACAACATTTCAAAGGGAGAACGTTGACAACTAAGGACTGACCGATTTGGTCCTAGCCTTGGGCCACGTTGTCCAGCGTGATCATGCGCTTTTCCTACAGTTACAGGCAGAAACCGCGAGCCTGGCATTCCGTGGGTTGTATCTGGGGAACTTTGCCCTTGGGAGCAAAGTTGGCTTTACTGCGGGAAAGTCATACCCTAAGGACGTCAAATCAGTAAGCTTTCGGTTTACCCCAAAAGGCGCGCATAGCCCATTCAGTTTCCCCCACTGTAACCCACGTTACATTTAATTTTGATTTGACTGAAACAATGTTGTCATTTAAGTTAATCCGTGCCTCATTGGCCATCAGGCTGATTTTAATATCAGAATTCGGAGTTACAAAAATGGCACGGCAAAAACTCACCATTACCAAGTCAAGTATGTCCCTTTTCGATGTCAAGACCGCCAAAATGTACCTGTCATTTCTCAAAGGTTTCTAAAAATCAAATGCAAATACTGATCATTACAGATTTGCCTAGTTGCTGTGTATGAAACGGCATGATGGACACCGTAATTTATATCTGTACCAAAATGGGCCGTTTGCATTAACGAAATCAATTTTGCACAAATGCGGGCAGCAATACCATGGTGCATCGTCTATGATGCACTCCTGCAAAATAGTGGTACACACACAATACAAAATGGATAATCTTGCCTTTTCTTGTACAATTTGTCTGTACTTAACAGTCGCCTGTCATTTTTGCTTTCTACAAACAACGCCAGAAAAAAAACGCAAAACGGCACGGTAGACACAATGTAGGGTCTGTGCGCGCGACCTGCGCTTTGACAGGACAGCACAACATTGAGGGGGGGGGCTAGAGAGCTGATGATTATAGGCCTTTGCCATGAAATATGCAAATTAGGTGCATGCGCGCTACTACCACTATATGCCAAGCGCGGCACGTCGTAATTACCGTCGGCAGTGTGGGAGAGGCTTAAACTTGGCGCTATCAAGGTCAATGAAAACCGTATTACAGTCTTCGACCGATATTTCAGCACGTTTTTCTCGAAACTAAGTTAAGTTTTTCGGCTCCCCGAGATTGGAAAGTAACAATTCCTTGCCTCTAAGTTTGTCACTCATGTGAACCCCCAATCGGCGAAAGAAAGACAGGTGATTACAACTCAAGTGGGTTCGCGCTTCAGGGTGCAGACCACTCATTCAAGTGAGAATTTCAGACCAGCTCATTAGCATTAAAAGTGCCCCCACAGTATCTTTTGAAAAAGGAGATTGTTTGGCCCCCAAAATGGTGAGATTGTGTAAATCATTGCAAGGATCAACTCCCTGGGAGTTGACAAGAATTTCATTTGTGTTTCAGAAATCTCAGGGATGTTGGTGTGCATGCTATTGGACCCTGAACGGTGCTGATTTTACACTGTTTTCAATGGGGCTTGAGTTAGTGGACTGGGCTTGTGCACAAAATGCACGACCGAACAATGGCGGAGCTTCAGGAGGCTAATGTGATGCTGTATGCTGTGCATTTCTGGTCAACATAACCTTTTCTCATGGGATGATGGCTAAGCCCTCGGCCTCCATCCCGAAAACAAGCCAAAAATCAACAGAAAATGCAAGAATACCATTTCCAGAAATAACTGACCATTTTCTTTTTAACTACCTACTCGAAAGCAATAATGTCAAATGGTTTTTGTGCGTGTTTGTTTTAATTCATTTTTTACACCCGTTGTCTACGGTCTCGCTTTAGCAATATTTTCACTTTGGGTCGGTTCAATCCTGATTTGTTCAGTGTGTGAAACTTTGAGAATTCCACCAGGACATGCAATAGGTTTTGTCAGTAAATATGATATCCAAACTGTCCATGTGTTTTTCCGTCTGGTTTCGATGAGCTAACAATGAAAAAATCATCAATAAAATGATTTTAATTGTACACACTTTCAGGGAAAATTGTACTCGATAAAATTCATCTATATATTGAGTAGATTTTATTGAAAACCGACATGAGGCGTAGGGAAGTGTAAGAATCTTTTCTGTGAACTCAAAGTGAGCGCAGCTTTAAATGAGTGACCAAACTAAGGTTTTTAAATCAAACGCTTATTAATCAGCTTAAAAAGTTGACTTCCCAACCTGACTTAGATTTACATTTAACAACAACTTTCCGGCATAAAAAGGCCAGTTTTAATTGAGAACGAATAATTTTTAATGTATATTTTACCCTCCTGAAAATACGCATACGCGGGACGCGTTTTGGATGGGATGTCTTATCCAGTCTATATAATGGAGATCAATGGTTCTTGGTCCTTGCACGCGTTCTGCGTGTAGCCAGAATAAATTGCATGGCGCGGATACCGCTCCGAGCGAAACAAAAGAGGGCGTGGTTTTTGTTTTATGGTACTCACCGAGATTAGCATATATATGTTTTTTCAATCTCCACATTTCTCCGGAATACCTGTATTTGTACCTCTGTCGAGGATTCTATTTCAATCTCTCTCCAAGTTTCTTTAATGTTAGATTTGCACTGGTCGAACCTACAAGCATAAAACTTTGTCTTGGCAAGACGAATAACTTCGGTTAGATGATTACTATAATTTTTGTAAAGACGCTCATTTGCCAAAGATGGATTTCTTAAGAACTGCTTATAGAGCCTGCTTTTATGCTTGCAGGAGTTGATAATGGCACTGGTAATCCAGGGTTGTCTAGTCTTATTACTATCAATAGCTTACCGTTTTAACAGATCATCACGTTGTGTATTTTCTTTCATTCATTTGCTTTTGGCGAACCAGAAAAATATGCCCCACTCTTACAAAAAACTCGAACATGCACTCTCCTAGGAGGCTACTTTTCGGAATACCGTTTATTTAAGTTTGCATTTGCATTTCTTAGCACCCTAGAAGGGGATAATCAACTGGCCATAACCAGAACAAAACTCAATGGATGTTAATCAGTTTTGATACACTGAATACAACCTTTTGGACAATGTCCGAGGTTGTTCTAGAAATTAGGAAGCTACACAGCTACATCACTTTTTTCCTATAATACAACTCTCCTAATTTGACTTTGAATTTTTGAAGCTTTCTTATGCTAAGCATCTTTATTTTTAAGTTAAAAACTCAACTCATGGCTATGAATACTTTGTCCTACAACATTAAAAATAATAACATAAAACTTAGATGTTCAAAGTTTAACTCTCGTAAAATTAAGCTTAAATGTCACGAGAATGTTGTCCAGACACTGGGCATAAAATCAACCACTTTTATCCGCCATAATGGAGCGTGAATGTCCGAATGTAAATGTGAAAATAATTGGAAACCAGATCCTTTACAATATTAAGAGGAAATTGCAAATAAACGGAAACTTTACTAACATTTGTTAATTAACAACGGGATGGTTCGGGATGGAACTCAACTCGTGTACACACAGGCTCATGAACATTTTGGGTGGGACGCAGTGAGTAGGTGCGACATTTCTGTGGAAATCATGCATTGACCTTTCAGTTGGTATGTCAAGCGCTGTTTTAGCCCTTGTCAAGCGCCGAGTATAACACCGGGAGAATACTCCATAAGGTGTTTTTAAAAGTAATACGAATTGGCATTAGTTTGTTTTAATAAGGGAAAATTCCATTTTAACATTAACACCGAAGAAGCAATTTTTTTTTTCAAATTAAAGGTGAACATTTACATTGTTGGTCAGTGTTGTAACGAAAATATCTCCTTTGACATTTTGTACTAAATGTAAGGCCTTTGCACGTGAGTGCCCTGGGCACTGTCACTAGCATGGTTGGCAAACTTCGTACCAACCTGTCTCTTCTTTGCCGTGGGGGGGGGGGGCGCTTGAAATGGATCAAATAGGAAGTGGCTTTAGCCACTAACCACTGGCTTCCAAAGACTTATTGCTGTTTTCAGCCTTAGCAGTAACTTTCGGAGGGGTCACAAGCGTAGTTTTTGCCAACCAGGAATTGGCAAAATGATGGATATGACCATGTATGAAGTAAAAAAGTACCAGATCGAGTCTAGAAATCATAATTGCAATGTGTGTGGGTTGTATTTATATTGAGGCACCTTTTCACTACGGTAGATATGGACCCCCTCAGAGGAGATTTTACAAAGACTTCTGAGGTATTTACAATCATGTTAAAAGAAGTCATTTTAAAGTGCTATCCTTTTTTGGCAACACAATGAAAGCAGTTTAGCCAATCCCATCGACATCTAACACGCATGATCTCTAATCGGACTGCGCGGATTGCGTCCGCGTGCGAATTATGCACGCACTGATATTTTGAATGCCACATAATCATAACACAAAGAAAATACGTAGCACGCAGAAAAAATAACAAACTCGATTTTTTGATTCTGCCTTTATCTTGTTGGAGATGTATGCTGTGAAGTATGTAAACCTAAATCATGAAAAAGGTGACCAGTTTGGCAAAGAATGATGACCCTGGAACCCCTCGCGAACGGGATGTTAATGAAGGGTCTAAGAGGTCTGAGGTAGGTTATATAAAACTAGGCCTACATGAATTATCAAAATTGTCACAGTCAGTGACCAGAAATCGGATAGGCTTAAAGAAAGCACACTGTTGCTTTGTCCTACTTGTTTGAGTTCAGAACATGGGACAAATAAAACCACCGTATGTAACAGGTGAAAATATGTGACTTGTTATACAGTATGGAGTTACCACATAGTCCTAACTTAAAAATGGACCTTCTAGAGCTATTTTATATATCCATGTCGCATACCGTGCAGTATTTTCAAAGGCCTGACTCACTGTTGATATTTTGTTAGGGTTTGCCCCCAAATGTTGAACAGCTTTAAACGATATTTTAATGGAAAATGCCGCTTTAATACCTAATCAGTAACTGGTATCAAGCAAAACCGTGAGTCCCCAAGTATCACGTGATGCGTAAGTTATTCAGAAGCTGCCACAGACAGCGTCCCTTGCCCTGTAGTGGAAATCACAACCCTACTGTCTTCACAAAATTAGCCCATCTAATATCCGTAACGTCATGACGCGTCATAGCCTAATAGAAGTTCTCTAACGGCAATGGGGCCCACCCTACAACAATCCCCGCACGCTGAAGGTAAACATACATGTACAAGCATACCATTCGTTACGTTATGACGTTGTTCACACTTCATCTCGGAGCATTGAGAAATATCGGGAAAGATTGCAATTACACTACTCGAAAAAAGTTAAGGAACACTTTGTATTTGTGTATACTTTTTATATGAGATATTTTACAGTTGAAAATACCCCAATGTAACTGTTCTGAATGTCCTCAAACACACAGTAATCAATTACACCATCTAGACAAACAAAAAATGAAAGAGCTAGACCCCACTCATTGCTTGGAAAAAAACTACATATTAAGAAAAAAGTGGTTCTTGACTTTTTTTGAGTGTTACATGTAAATAATATTGTAAAGAGAGCAAGCTGAGCCGGAGTTTGAAATTTCTTCTGATAGCTTTACGTGAGATGTCAAATCTTTTTTTCTTTTTTTTTTTAAATTCCAGTTCTCCCGGAAAAAGCCCTTACCATCAATTTCCATTGAGAAAGATCCCGAATTTGCCGACTCAGTCCTTTGTGCAGCAACCATGCATATCAGTCGCAAGGTGAGATAATGACTAATTTAACATAAGGCTGTGTCCGAAACGGGCTTCCAGAGCTACGGCTAGGCCTAATAAATACGGGCGATTCACAATAGTGCGACCTCCAAGAGTTTGCTACGCGTTGGCCAATCACCAGTGTTTTAGTCGAGACCACTTAAGACCTTCACAAGACCACACAAGACCAATTCAAGACCTCCAGTCTGAATTCAAGTCATAAGCTAATCGAATGAACTGCAACAAAAGGATTCCTTTGTCACTGTTCACACTGTTGCTTGTGTCTAGTCTTGTGCATGGTCCTGACTACAACACCTCCAATCACATTGTGCAACAGATTTAGCGCATTGTGATTGGCCAACGCGTTGCAAACTCTTGGAGGCACGCTATTATGAAACGCCCGTATTGAAATTTCGGTAATTTTCACTTCGTAAGAACAGGCTCAGTTTAAATTGGAGGTTAACATGAAAAAAAAAAGACTGAAATACTGTACGTATCGGGTGGCCAGGGTTTTCGGCAATTACAGCAGTACAAAAGGCAACGGAAAATATTATAAATGTCTTGAAATATCGCCAAATTTCCACATTTTTATAGAACCCTCACTCTAATTGTATCATATCACTTTCTTGCTGTCCAAATTTGCTTTAGGAACGAAAATCATCTAGTCAAAGCTCAGTAAAGCCGGCATGCCTCGGACAGGGCCTCTGTCCACGGACGAGAGACATTCCCAAACCAGGACTTGGTCGTCGAAGTCCCCCAATCTTTCGAGGGCCCACCCATGGCCCGAGCGGTGATCTACCACCTCGTAAGACGGTCGACGGAATCCACAAGCGAGACAGCCAGGCAGATAGTCAACGATATCCTCTGTTGAACCCACCCTGGCGCGCGACATGTGCCATTGTCGAACCAACCCATGCTGGGAGTATCTGTTTTGAACGGCTACCAAGGGGTCTCAAGCAACTAAAGCCAGTCGACTTGTGTTACAGGCACGGTCATCGTAAGCGGCTCAATCACTTGGAGGAAATACAAAACGTTGATACAATTCAGAAGAGAGGGAGGACAAGGCAACATAAGTTCAACGGAATGAAAAAAGAGGGCAACTTCAACACGAAGAAGGTGAATACATGCATCGGTAAAAGTGTAACAAACACAATCGCCGAGGGTGAAAATTATGTCACGGATTATGACAATGTGACATTTGTGCAAGGTAGCTTTGAAGAGGATAACTTGGACACAAGTTTGACATCGACAACTCATTGCATAGCAACAAAGAAGCAATTAGAGACCTCACCAAAACCAGAACAATCTATTATCGCCGTCGATCACAGCATGCATGAAAATGTTCCAGTACAGGCTAATAGGACTCTAAGGGAAGATAGACTTCAACCAGGGCGTGAATCTTATTCTTCCGAAGATATAAAGACCGAAAGCGCTCGTCTGGCGTTAAACACCGGTGAATGTGACCCTGTCACACATGAACAACAGGGTGAAGAAATCACGTCGAACGAAGCCTGTGCTTCCGACGCGGATGTAGAAACATCAGCCATGGAATTGTGCCGAACAATTCCGTCAGAACAAACTCTAATGAAAGCAAACAGTCTGACGTTTCGGCACACTGTTGGAAGACTTTACACTGATAACCGACCAAACAGCTTCATAGCACTCACAGCTAAGGAAAAAGAGCTGGAACACTGGTCTGAGACTACCCTGACACTTCAATGTTTAGCAAAAATGGCAATCCGGGAGAAAGATCAAGCAAACCAAAACGACACAGCCTCCACTGAACACGAAAACACCAAATCAGTCTACGACGACACACTGGACAACCAGGAGAAAACAGAATTTGAAAATAATAGCAAGGTTCTTGATTCACCTGAGCAAGAATACATCCCATGCCTTCATGATCAGAGTTCCAGGAGTACTAATGACGTCGATGCAACTTTCAAGCTCGAAATTTCTAAAAATTCGACTGAAGCTGAAACTAAAGAGATAAAATCCGAGAGCACTAGTCTTAAAGCTTCATTTTGTGAAGATAATATAAACGTCTTACTCAATGACCAAATGCAAGTTAATTTGCAAATGAAATTACAACCTCATGTTGCAACGCACTCAGGTGACAATCTAGATGAATCGCCAAAGACTGCCCTGGCATCAAAAGTGCGACAACTTGAGCCCAACCCCATCCTTATATCAAATGAAGCAACACGGGAAGAGTCGTTACAAATGACCTGTGATAACGAGGTGTTGAGCTTTTCCGTTGACCTTCTGACAGGGACCAATGACATGGGTCAAGACATGTCTAATCCATCTACACAAACAACATGTGATCACAATATAGGGCAAACACAAGAACCACTGACTGGTAACTTTCTTAATCAAGATGACAGGAAAACAGAACTTGAAGCTGTCAGTGTGGACCAAATGAGACTAGGAACTGAAAATGATGAAGCTCTCCGATTTTCCCAACATGAGATTCGTGAAGCGGAAAAATTTGATAAATCATCTCAAAGCCCTGGAACAGAACCACCTCAAGATCCTCAGCTGTCTTCGAGTTATCAAGACCTTGCTACTGATGACCTTGCTACTGATAACGATGCCAAGTCATTAGAGTCAAGTTCAGACAAAGATGATCGCATTCAACATCATGAGTCATCTTCACTGAAAAATGACAGAAGTTTTCAAGGAATTTCGGATGGAAGCTCAAAGATAGAGAGATGTACAATTCGGAAAATACCCTCTCATGACAGTTCTGGCAAATGTAAGTATATTGTATTGCCTGACGAAGACAGAATTAAATCGGAGTCTCAGATGGAAACTGTGAGGCCCTCGAGAGCAAACGAAGACGACGACACTCAAGAAGACAGTAGTGCAGCGAACAGGCGCTCTCTGAAAATTTCAAGCAAGTGTTCAACGGACAGCAAATCAACCAGAGGAGAAATGTTTTCCATCATATCAAGAAATAAAAGCTCCGACCCGAGATCAGACCCAAATGTAGTCAAGTGTAGAGCAATAGAGAGATCGTCAGTTTCAAAGATTGAGGCCATAACTGAAGTAGAAAACATCGAGCCAGAAGAAGATGCGGGAGCGGACAACCGAGGGAAGACGGACAAAGACAATGAACTAAAATTGTCCAGGAAAGACAGAACTGGAATTGGTAGGAGAGCACGAACAAAACTAAAAAGTAAAATGTCTCCAATTCAAGAAGACGGTGCAACGGATTATGGGATAAAGGATAATCCAAATGGCAAAAGGGAGGAAATTCTCAGTCCAAGAGAGGATAGAGATGAAGAGGTTGAGAACAAGGAAGACGAATGGTTTCCTCCATTTGCATTTCCACTGCAAGGACAACCCAGAACGTGCAGAAGGATAAACTTCTCGGACTCAAATCGTTTTATGCGTATCCATGGCAACAATCTCCAAAGTGACGGGCCGTGGGGTCAGGGAGATCGCATCGAGCGGCCACGGAACTACGTCGAACCTAACGTCAGCCTGGATGATATGTGCTTGCGCTTTTTTACCGATATCACCCCACTTGACCTGGCCTTTAACGCCATCAATGTGGTCAATTCTTGTTCTAATTCCATCGGCTATCATTCATGCAACAATCAAAAACGTATGTTGGCGGCGTTGGAGGGTCTCAAACACGATGACGTCTATAAACACGCACTGGTCTGTCCACTAGCTCGTCAGTGCGCGGCAGCCACGAGAGAATTCAGCCAGTCGCTGCACAAAGTATTCAGGAGGTTCTCCAATCGGACCAGAGCAGCTCAAGAAGCGTTGTTGGAATACTATCGAGCCCTGGCAGCCGGTGAGGTCAACTCGCCAGAGATGCTACAGCAGATTCAGAGGGATGGCAAGAGCTTATATATGGTGTGGGAGGGAGGACAATACGTCACCAGGTACGCTGAAGATACCTTAGCTGAGCTTAGTAACAGTAGCAGTGACACAAGCTGCCACCCATCAGTCTCCAACTCAGCAGACCATCACGACACATCAGAAAAATCTTAGTACAAGTCAAGTAGTAAAAGGAGGTGGATGGGGAAATACGTGATATCAGGTACAGACTGGTAAGTAAATTATGTACACGGTTGAGACTGTTTCCACGGTCTTTTTTTTACGTCGGTTAGTGATGTCAATCTGCGATTGACTAAATTATTTTGCTGTCGTTTTTCGTTAGTGTCTGGTTATTAAGTCTTCTTTCCATTTATGGAACACGTACCGATACAGTACGAGATTTGACACAAACTTTCAAATATTTAAAACGTCCATCTGTCTGCTTGTAATAAACCAGGTTAAAATGCCCCGTAAACGCCTATATGTGTAATTGTGTGTATTTTATGTTTTCCTATGCAATTTGAAAACTATATTTAATGTTGTTTTACAGTTTAAACATGCTTCCCTCCAAATTTGAAGTTGTAGATGGTTTTAATTTTAAAAGGGAGGGTAATATAATTTGAAGTTTAAATAATGTATACATGTAGTATTGGTTTTTCAAATGTAGTAAAATTATACAATAGACCCGTTGTTACTGTTTGTTAAATTCCGAGGAGAAACCGACAGGACTCCAACAAAAAACGCTTAGGCTTCAAGAGATTTTTTTATTGTTTTAACTACAGCATTTATGTATATCAAGCTTGAACTTGGCTGATATAAATTATCCAACATTTGCATTCTTATGTTTCCTTGCAATGACCGTGCGGAAGCTTTTGCGTTGTTTTTTGTCGCTGCAAAATACCACCACTCGCTGAACAGAGTAACTCCACAGTAACGGTCCAGCAACAGAAACTGTCTCGTGTAGCTAGCTGTGACACACAACCACTGGTTGATAGCAAACCACGATAGACTCAATCTGTAGAGCGTGTTGTTCCCGCGACAAAGAAAGCACTGCCTATGTAAGTGGGTTTATGCTGATAAGGTTGTATGTGCGCACTAAGTGGAGCGAAACGTCCCCATAACTTATTTTGTTAGCATTGCCATCCCGTGCACTACATTGTCCTGAAACGTGCACCGACAAGGAACCACACTGATTTGAAAAAAAACTCTTAAGAAATTATGACACGAGTGATAAGGAAACAGTAACAGCACATAGAGTAGGAAACACTTACATTGCACCTCTGCTTCTCTGGCCGGAATGTGGTTCATAATTGCGTATCGTCTTGGATTTGTCGCCTATGTAGGAGACACCACTTTCCCAATGCAGATCGAACGTGTTAGTGAATCTGTTGCCAAAATATTTCAGCAAAATGATCGGGAAGGATCGACCACCGTTTCGTCGAACTTTCTTCACAGTCGTTTTATATTGTCCACTCACTATTGCAACTATTTGCATAGCTATAGAAAAGGCTAGATCAATTCAGCCTCTGTCGTGTAATGTGTCTGTAAGTGACACTGTGAACTATGGAAATGAGTCCATTTTTAGATGTCGTAGTTGCGCAATATAATGCGTAGAGATTTCTTGCAAACAGACAGTGGAATCAGCGTTTCTGTTGCTGTCATTATGATTACGCACGCGCAGATGTAATAATATGGAAAAGTTAATACCATGGCATTGGATTGAAAGAAACATTTCATTAATTGGCAAATGATAAGTAGTCAGGAGCGAAATTCCGGGCTATCACAATTTGTGATTGTCAAAACACAACCCCAAATTTCCCAGGAAAAATGAGAGTACGTCGACTTCATACCACACCCCATTATAAGAAAACTGGAGCAAAAAGTAGGGTAAAACAGTGGTGTTTTTTATTATGCTCCAAAATTGTAATGGTCCTGTTGGTCTGATGTGAAATTCTTTTTGAGCAATTTATTTTACCTGAAATGAATGTTTTTGGCCATTGAAAAAAAATGTCGGAGAGGTTGCGATTGAACCGCGGATTTTATAATTGCGCCCTCACAGCATTCAGCTCAGAAAATAAAAATGGCGACTTACATGGGAAGAAGCATGAACGATTCCAGTCAAGATGAAATTCAAGATAGCACCGAGTTGTCGTCCGTAAATATGGTTGACATGATGGATGTTCTTATAGGACCAAATAAAAAGAAACATAATGAGGGACTGAGACAATTTGGACTACCACAGGCTCCAAAAACGAGGGAAGAATTGACGATGGAACGTGTGATGGAAAGTTGCACATTTAAAACCGTCATGAGTTGCGTGTTGGGTAAGTTCACGGTCTGATGGTAGAGGATATTCATGTCATTTTTTAGCAGACTTTTTACCCACAAGTTTAGACTCATATCAGCAAATATACATGGTATTTTGTCCATGAATGAATTACTTTTATTTTGTCATAGGCCTATTAGAATTCATCTGTTTTGATGTTAATTTTATTGTAGGTTTTGCCCTGGGAGCAGCAATTGGTTTATTTGCAGCAAGTGTTGACCCTGTTGATCCTGATCAAGCAGCCAAACAGAAGGCCAGAGATGTTTTGAAAGACATGGGTCGGAGGAGTGTTTTTCATGCCAAAAACTTTGCTCTCATTGGTGCAATGTTTGCAGGAACAGAATGTATAATAGAATCAGTAAGTGTTCTTTAGAATCAGTAAGCGTTCTTTAGAATCAGTAAGCGTTCTTTAGAATCAGTAAGCGTTCTTTAGAATCAGTAAGCGTTCTTTAGGATCAGTAAGTGTTGTTTAGAATCAGTATGCATTTTTTAGAATCAGTAAGCATTCTTTAGAATCAGTAAGTGTTCTTTAGAATCAGTAAGTGTTCTTTGCATCCTGCAAGGAAATATTTCCAAATTAAACTTGCTACAGTCTTAAAGCTAATACATGTGTACAAAAGACAGATACATGTAGACTTTCCCATTCCGTGACGTGAAATCAAATGGAAAGGATCATTCCATTTCTGCTAGCAGAGCGTGTGAAATTATTTTTACATTAGTCGGATTTTTTATTCATTAAACAATGTTTGAATCAATCCTACATGTACATGCACCTGAATGAATGTCTGTATCACGTCTATGTCTAGAAATTTCATACGATTGTGGATTAAAACATTCTATTTCACTGGGCACTGTGGATTAGAATGTTCTATGTTTGCAGTGTATCCACTCACTATTTGAAAAAGTATCTTAGTGATACACGATTGATAACCCTACTATGAGATGACGGGATTTATTCACGTGTTGTATTTGAAGAATATGTACATTGTCAAATCAGATACTTTGTTAGTCTCGGCCCGAGACGTCAATTGATTGATAGTGATTTTTGTTATTATTGTAGAGCTCCCTCATACAATTGTTTTGACTTTCTCTCAGGAACATCTTGGGAATTTCATAAAATTCATGGCATAGCCATTTTATGTAAATTATACTGTTGGTAAAAGTATTCATATATTTGAACAAATGATGGCTCCCTCTTTGATACCAGTTGTTGAGTGCAGAGGTATCACTGCATTGCATATCTAACTACATGTAATACGCTTGATTCCCACGTGTCTCAATTGAATTCTGCACATAGTGTGTATGTTTTACAACCCTGCATGATTGATGATAAACCATTTCATGATCACTGATCAGTTCTGCAGGAAAGCAGGGAGAAACAAACAAAAAGTAAACTCTAAAGGGGCAGGGGGTGGAATCTCTTTTAGGATTGAACAGCTACTATGAGATTCCAAAGACATCAGTGCAACCAAGCGCACTGGTCTAATTATTGAATTGTTTAATAGAGGGTGCACTATGCATGATACATTATCGAGTACCAACATCTTTGGTCCAAGACTAATAAACCCTTCTTATAAATTCTGATGAAACTCTGAACTTCATGCACATGGTGACTTGAACAAATGTGACACTCTACACGTCGTTTCTTTTCTCTACATAGTACCGGGGTCAGAGTGACTGGAAAAATAGTCCCATTGCCGGATGTGTGACTGGAGGTTTAATAGGATACAGGGGTATGTGATCTGTAGAGTAATTGAAACTACATGTACTAGAAGTCCCAAACATGTCTGAAAGCTTCTCAAACCCACCTGCATCTGTCATTGTGCTTTAACTCAATTACATGTATGTTCTTTGGACTTGAACAAAGCAAACTTCAAGTTCCATTTACATGTACGTGTAGGTAAAGCAGTCTAAAGTAAGATTTGAGAAATTTAGGAGAACCTAAGTTTATTGAGTGGTCACAAAGCAAGTGTAGAATGTGTTTATTGTTGTTAATTAACACTTCATTGGAACAAATGACTAACAGCATCCAAATTTGTGTTTTGAAGCTGGACTTAAACCCGGCGTTGCAGGGTGTGTAGGATTTGCTGCCTTTTCAGCTGCTATCGATCACTACTTCCATCTTCACTGATGTACGGGATCTTCTTACAACACTTGGTCATCTTAGTCTTGGAAGTGACTTTTGGGGGTCGTCATGAAGACATGCATGGAAGCCCATATGGATCCAATACTGATAAAAAAATTGTATGTGAGGTTTTCTTGGCCATGAACATCACCAAGTGTGAATACACACAGTATTGGAATTCTGTTGGAATGTGTACACTTTCATAGACTCATTTCAGCAGATGAAGAGAACGTTTGAACTTCATGTACATATATGCATTCAAGGTGAATTGAACAAGGGGCAGTCTTGAACACAGAAAGTCCCACAAATCTTTCAAATTCTTAAGTTTTACCCGTCCCATTCTAAATACAGTCAAGTTTCAAATTGTATTGACCCTTACTTTACCTTAACCCTCCATTTTTTAACTCACTACCGTGGGAATTAGAGAGAAATGTTTGAGGTATTCTTGGGGCTGGATGTGGGGCAACTCCGATCTTTGTGTAATTGTTGGTACCCATAGCTACGTGTATTTTAGAATGTTTGAGAAAGCTACTGTATTGCCATGAACATAAAATGGAGCTGTATTTTGTGAGTGAATAAAACAGTTGAATACGTAATTGAATGGTATAATTGAATGGAGGGATTACCTAATAATTGAATGGAGGGCCCAACTTCAACAAAACCTTTGAGTTCAAAAGAAAAAACTTAATTTTTTTTGAGGAGTTGCAAAGGAAATCCATTAACTCTCCCAGGCCAAAATGGTGGAGTTGGGCCTTTCTTTTAATGACGTATCAATTTTTTACCTTGACTGAATACTATCAAACAAAATGAACAGACCAATAGCCGCGAAATATATGGACCTTTTTAATGAAAAGGTGGTTTTAAATGTTCAAGTGAAAATTTAATTAAGAAATAAACACAGATACACAAATTTCATGGGAACTTTGTTGTGTTTGTATTGTTGATTCTAATCAAAATATGGAACACGTATATATAAATTTTTTTTACTAAAACTAATTCTGAGTTTTCTTTTATTAAAAATATTACTAAAAAATACGAAGAAATGATAGAACTGTCTTTAAAGGTTAGTTTACACATGTATTGTTGCATCTACATGTTGTGGTACACGCCTGAGATACATTTTAATGACTACATGTTTACTCAAACATGTACGAGTCACCTCAAAGAATAAGGGAAAAACAAAATAGTGTTTAAAAATGAACTGAATACAATGGAACTATTTGAAAAGCATGAACACACACATTGTACGACCAAATTTCAGTATTCATGAAACTGATGGGGAAAAAATTTAAAAAGTGGCAAATAAACAGAACGAATAATTACATAAGTTGCAAACTATCAAAACTCTCAGCAGCTTCCTTTTTTTTCATTAAAAATATCAACACGTTAAAAAAGGTTGCCCTCTGTGAAAAAAAAACTGTACCAGTGGAAAGCTTAAAAATTGAAAATAAGACAAGGCTAACAGATACACGTACAAGACTTCAGAAAAAAAATTTCCTCCCATCGCTGATATGACAATGGGGCATTCCTTGCCAAGTTGTCTTTAAGAAGACAGTCCACCTCGACCATCTACCTCCAATAACCCAACACACTGCAGGGGCATTCCTTGCCAAGGTGTCTTGAAGAAGACGGTCCACTTCAACCATCTACCACTAAATGACCCAATGTGTTGCAGACAATTATATGAATCTTGAACCATGCTGAAGGACATGAGGTACACGTCACAGAGATCTGCAGCTTGGTGATAACACTATATGTATGTCTTCTAAGTTCTTGAGGTTCAAGTCAGGATACCACGTCACTTGTGTCATAAGAGACCACTGTTCTTTACTTCCATTATTTTCATCAGTGCAGAGTTGCTACTTGTTGGCATGGGTCTTACAATGGGTAATCGTGCCAAAGGCTGAAAAAGGGATATTTCAAAGATAATAATATGAACTCAGAAAGCAATTGTTTTGAAAATATAATGTTCTGAAATGTTTAATTTTCCACATGTGATACAAACATTGTGAACATTTTGAATGCTAAAGAGCAGAATGTACATTTCTATCAAAATACATCTCTAAAGAAAAAACAAATGTGCACAAGCTTTCTCCTGACAAGAATTTCCCACAACTGTCTAAAAATCTCCATAAATCTGGAAACTACCCCTAGTCAACTTCATATCTGACAACAGCCAGGATGTCTTGATTGTTGGCCAATGAGTCAGTTCAGCATTTCAAAAAGGCAAGGTCATTTGAAAGCAATGGACAAGTGCCACACAGTATATGGCCATGCTGATAGGACAGACCTAGCACATGCTTGTATTGCTGCTCCAAACGACCTCAGATGCCCTTCATTTTCAGGATCCAATGCGCAGTTGGAATCCTGAACTGGCTCATTTGTATACACTTGACTTTGTCCTTCCACGTATCAGAGAACAGGTGAATTTAAAACACGTTCTTCATACATGTACATGTAGTTGCCTGTAATCAACTAATATACATGTACATACTGCACATATAAATAAATCCAACTCTTATCTCTTAAAAGTTTAATTACATACACTTAATGAAGCCTATGACTGGTCATAAAATATGTACACATAAAAACTGAAACAGAAAACACAAAAAGCAGTCTTCAGTTTCCGGTTTAAACCACTTCCTACCTTTGTGTATACGTTTCGTCTTCATCATGTTTTAGGATTAGTTTCTTGACTTCTTCAGGTGGGTTCATGCCATGTTTCTCAGCCCTTTCCCAACGCTCCAGTCTTGAAATTCCTGCAATGACCAGAATTGGAGTAAAAAATCTGACAGGAAACTGTAATGACAACAATGCACGTAGATGGTCTGGGCTTTCAGTTTTTCCTTCATTCTCTCCTTTTATTATATTGGGGACCCTTGAATAGTTTTAATTATTCTTTGTAAACCAAAGGTGCACCACTGTAATAGGCACCACTGAGCAAATCCTCAGCACTTTCATACATGTATGCAACCACGGTAACTGTTGATTTGTGAAATCTACTCCAACGTTAAAAAAAATGTACTCTCTCAGTCTTGGAGAGTTCATTTCTTTCAAAACTCTGAGGCTTTTGAGGAAAGAATGCCATTCAGGGTGCAAAAACGAAATGATGACAATTTATGTGTACAAGTACTTTGGGGTTTGTCGTCGCTGCAATCCTAGCAATGACAAACCCCAGAGTTCTAAGGAAGTACAAACTCTTATGGGGATGAAAAAGTTAACTTCATTCTAGGTCCTACCTGTGCATGGTCCATATTCCCAGCAGAGATCAAATTGTTTCAATACATCAATCTCCTTGTCAATCAGCACCTGCTGAGCTGTCTCATGATCACTGACTGAATAAAAGAGAAATGACAAATGGAATTGGTCATTTGACATATCAAATTACATTCTATTTAAATTGTTTTTACAGTTATGCCCTGCCCCTCACACAAGTTACACCTCTCTTCCATATTTTGGCTGCTCTCCATCATTTTCTAATGCTCCTTAGATTCCTATCCAACTGGTCAACTGTTAGTCCAATTCAAAAAAATCAGAACATAGTCTAACAGCAACATTAGGCCTAATATTTGTCTTTAGGTTAATGGTCTTCCCAGCTAGCAGCTTACACTGTCACTGACATAACATACGCCTATGGTCACAAATACATGTACATTACATGTAGTATATGGATGCCAATTGACACCCCACAAACAAACTCATTGAGACTGGTCTGAAAATCTCGACGTGTTTTCTAATTTTAGTAACATTAGGCCTAAACAACTTGGAATTTAACTTTTCTGGACATGTTTGTGCTTTCTGACATGTCTGATGGCTAATGAACAGGTCAACGTGTAGGGGATAATTATTGGCGTCCGTATATGGAACTCTTTCCCATTTTCTTTGGTTCTTGTTTGGTTTCCGTTGAAGTTGGTGCACTACAGAGGGAAGTCCCCGCACCCCGCCCATCCACTATTTTTAAAGCCCATAGACTAATGCGCAGAGCACACAATTATCAGGCCAACTGTATACCTTCTCTTTCGTTTTCATCGGCAGTTGGGGCTGTTGACTTCGCTTTCCCAGCACGAGAAGCTTCCTTCTTGTGCTGAGCAAAGACTTCAGTAATCAGTCGCTGTCTGCCTGCCATGATAACTCACTGAATGACATAAAGAGAACAGAATTGCTGCGAATTTTATACGATAGACCATGGAGGTAGAATCATAGACGTCTAACCAAAAGGAACCCGGAGCGTGTTGCTGCTTGCCCAGTCCGATCCGATCCTAGCCTATCGATATCGTGACGCGACGCTATTCTATAAATAGTTTCATAAACTTGCTTAGTCGTTTCTGTTTTCATATTTGGTATGCCAATTTATTTCTTATTCCTCCTCGATCAGTTTTCAACTCAAAATAGACCGTATATTTACAGACATTTCGGGATAAATACATTTCAATTTGAGTAAAGCACTGTGCTTGATATTTTCTGCAAATACATGTAATTGTCTAATTGTGTAAACTTATCTTTTCCAGCTCTGAGTCGAGAAAGCGCGCTTGGTGGCGCTATTGTACACGTTGACAACTTGCCTGTACCGCGTATACCGTACCGCACCATACTACCAGAGACAGGGCTGTAGACTTTATTATTCTTGCAGAATTTGCTTAAAAATTCGGACAGATCCTCAAAATGATTGACAGTGTTAATCAGAACCGTGCCCAGGATAAGCTTCAGGCAGGAGAAGGAAGTGATCAGTTTTTCTCTGCTCTTGTTGTGACTTTAGCTCTGGGAGCTGTTATCGGTTTGCTGATGCTAGTGTGCGGATTTGGGACTGGTGGACGCGGAGCAGTGGACGATACGGAAAATGGTGATTAAGTTACACCAAAGAGCAAAGACACTGTGTCCTTGCTCTGTGGTTACACAGCTAGCTAACTTGAAATGCCCCGTGGGTCGCGCGTTTATACATACATTTTGTATTCTGCTTGATGTAGTTCCACGAGATTACGTGCACTTGTTTCATTTACACATCTCTTAGTTTGCACTGTCAGACTGTTCATTGTTTATTTTGCATGTACGTGTATTTAAATGTTACAAATATTGGCCTTGAAACCCTGTGTACAAACCCTATGAGCCTGGTTTGGAAAATTGTGTTTTCAAAGTGAATACCTGAATGTTTTTACTGCTCAATTTGACTTTTTAGGACGTTTTATTGCTTTTAAATTGTTTATAGGTCACTGCAGGGAAAAATCAGTGGCCTTCGTGTATGGAATTCTTTCCCAATTATTATTTCTTGTTTGGTAGCTGAGAAAACAGACAACAAACCCAAGAAATCCAAGACCACCCAGCAGGGCAAACGTCAACTGAAACAGCCTGGAAAACGAGCGACTCAGAGCTCGTTTAGCCACGCCCATCTGGCATCAACACTCAAGGAACATAGCAACAATGTATTAGACATTGACTTTAGTATCAATGGCAAATATCTAGCATCTTGTGCTGAAGGTAAACGCTGTATAAATTAACATTTCATAAGCACCTAGTCAGTTTCCCTATATTATTTGTTTCATAAATTAACATTAAACACATTTACTTGTGATGCGACTTGTTAGGAATTTCCAATGAATATGAAATCATTTCAAAGCAAAACACTTTAACTTTATTCATTTTTCAGATCGAACAGTTCGTGTGTGGAGTGTGAAGGAATTTAAGGAAAAAGAGCATAAGTAAGTAATTAAACAAATGCCTTAAATCATTATTTCTGTGTTTGGGAGTGTTTAGTTTGTGACCAACACCATGAAATTTCCAAAAAGTGACAAAATAATATTGAGATCACCCCTTTATTTTCAGATCTTACATTTGTGAAAAAAAAAATGAAATTTTGAATACTGTATTCTATTTTTAATTCTATTCTTCTATCTCAAATTTTGTGCCTTCTTAAGATTTTCATTTTCTCTCAAATGTTATTTCCCACAGATGTGTACGAGGGAATGTGGAGTATGATCATGCAACTCAAATCAAGTTCAGTCCAGACTGCAGGTGCATTACTGTCTTAGTACCTTTATTTTGTATTTTGTCCTTGGGTTTAATACCTGAAGAGATGAGAATGTGATATTCAATGCAGATGTGATTATCTGATGTTGTATTGTTCTCCCTGCTATTTTGTTTCTCACATTTTGGAATCATTTTGTTTGGTTAGGGCCTTCATCACCAGTTTGTCTACTGGAAACAATATCCGGGTCTTCAAGTTGGCAAAGAAGGAAGATGGTGTATCTAGTACCATTACTGCCTCCTTGGATTTCCCCAAGGTAAAAAGAGACGAAATGCATCTAACAAATCACAAGATATATCAAAGGGAAGACAGCCACTCACAATTTAATGTGAAATTTTAGACTGTCAAGCATAACATGAGATTATTTTTCCCTAGAACTTTAACAAAGGATGAGCTTTACTTGTAACAAAAACATTGCTTGGAGCCCAACACAAGCGATGAAGTGTATCCAAGTTATTGTAGTCATATGCAAATGGGTACTTGTGTAGTGTTTGTGAATTTTGTCAATACACATGTCTTATTTTATCTCTTATCCAGAAACACATTACAGATATCATCAATATTGGACTTGGTTCTCATGCCCATGGCAGCTTTGTCATGACGGCATACAAGGACACTACTATCCACATCTGGGATGTGAGAGGTAAAAAAAAAAATCACTCTTTAAGTAAACTCAACACAGACCTAACACTTGTGCAGATGACTGTCAAAACAAACATCAGAATGAATTTTGTAACGTTGTAAGGCAGCATATTGAAGTCTTAAAAGATGTATGAGGCAGCAGTGTAAGACATCACTGAAGGCATTGTTAAAAGTTTCATAGGATTGTCAGGCTGGTCAGTGAAATTCAAGTTTTATTTCAGGTGAGGTCTTGCAAACCATTGATACACATCACATGTCTAACAACTACGCTGCAGTCTCTCCATGTGGTCGTTTTGTGGCTTCATGTGGTAAGTGAATATTCCAACCTTGTCTTTGGGAAGCTAAGCTCTTTTTCACATTAAACCTGTGAATAAGCACACTCCTACTGCTATTAAGATTTATGAAAATAAGGATCTTTGCACAACAATACACTACAAATGTGACAAGGTCATGTGTTGTAGTATGCCACTTGAGTAGCTATACTGGTATACACCACAAGACTTACAAGCTCTCTTACTTGCTACTGTTTAATGTTTGCTCATTTTTTTCCTGTTACCACATGCAGGTTTTACTCCAGATGTGAAAGTCTGGGAAGTCATCTTCGATAAGGAAGGCAACTTCTCAGATGTGAAGCGAGTCATGGATCTGAAGGGGCACAGAGCTAGCGTGTATTACTTCTCATTCAACATAGATTCTACAAGGTACAGAGAAAAATCTTATACTGTTCAAATACAAATAGTTGTCCCACCAAATTGCTTACTTGACTTTGTGACTTTAGTTAAATTCTGACTTCGGTGCTAAGATTTTCTTATGAAACACTTTAAAACTGACGTTAGTTGGCTAACTTATTTACTCAAGATTCAGGCAAATTCCTTTGCTTTAAATGTGTTTAGATTAGTTACCATAGAGATATTTTTCAATACTCAGGATGGCAACTGTCTCCAAGGATGCAACATGGAAACTTTGGGACACAAATGGTAAGGAAAGGACATGGGATATCTGTTCATCTGGGTGCAAATTTCTATCTGCTAAGCTTGCAAATGACCAGTTGGAAGCAGTAGAAGGAATGGACAAAGTTTCCTTTGATCATCCATTTATGAATGAGAAATTCTTGTCTTCTAGTTCAAAGCTTTGAGATGTCTTCTGTATGGTAACAGCATAAAAACATTGTGATCTTCCCACATTGCCTGCCCTGTTTTTTGAGGATACAAGACAGTCATCTTTTTATTTGCTTTCCACTTACTCCCTCTTAATAAAGACCAACAAATAGGGAACTTACTAACAGAGAGTGGTATAATTCATTTGGTAACATTCTTCGATGTTATGGGTTTGGACTTTGCTTTAGTCAGTTACATGTATCTTTGTTCTTTAACAGAAATCCTTCTACGTTTTCATATCAACAGTTGAATACAACAAGAACCAGGACCCATACCTTTTGTTAACGGGAAGCTATGACCATACAGGACCAAGCATATTAGCCTTGTCCCCAGATGCGTATACTGTAGCTATTGCCACAGGTGCTAAGATATGGGTCTTTGATTCAGCCACGGGGAAAGAGGAAGAAATGTTTGAGGATGTTCACGCTCGTAAGTCTGCAAAGACTGCTTACACTTGTGTTAAGTGCAGAGTTATTAAAGACACAAATACAGAATTATGTGACAGCTTTTCAGAACCAGTAAACAATATGAAATCTCTGAAATCCCAATTTTGTTTTTTGCTACTCAGAACCTATCACCAAACTTGGCTTTGATCCAAGCAATAAGTACCTGGTATCCTGCGGTGACCGACATATCAGAGTATTCCATAATGTTGTTGGTTATCGTTCAAACATTGCCAGTATGGAAGAGAAGATCAAGTCATCAACAATAAACAAGTCCCAGAAGGAGCGACTACAGAACCAGATCACGCAGATGAGGTGAGTCACAATCATGTGGACAAGATTACAGGCCTTATGCAGACTTGTATTTGAGTCATAAAACATCGAGTCCGAGTCCAATCCAAGTCACATTTCCTGAGTCTTGAGTCCCAAATCATCTGGATGGAGTACAAGTCTGCAGCCCCAAGTTAGAGTCATTTGTCAAAGTGACTCAAGTCACCAAAAATGTCACACGAGTCTGAGTCATACAAGTCTGGCCTTATGAATCGGCTCTGGTGTAATGTCTTGTAGAAACCATGCAGTTTTTGAGCACCGTTCTCGTTGAGTTGCTTAAAATAAAGGACTTCCTAAACGTATTGAAATTTTCAGAAATGAAAGGGTACATATCATTACATTTGGATGTTTCAATAGGAGCTCAAAAGTCTTTTAAAAAATGTTATATACACAAGGAAATACCTGTTTAAGGGGCTAGATTTAAATCTAAATCACTTTGTGTTAGATTTTGTCAAGTCTTCTTGACTACTTTTTTTAGGCTGGCCTCTAAACATTTCCTTTTTTACTTCTGTATTCAGGGATAGCCTAGCTGAGATCCTAGGGGAGAAACCAAAAGGATAAAAGATCCAGTGTTGAGATTTTGTTAGAAACGGAGCTGCAATCCGACTGCAGCAAGAGTCTTGTCACAGTGCCCACCCAATCAACCTGATACAGGTTGGTTGCCACACCCAGGAAACAACTTTGATTGGATATTTGAAATTGATTGGGCCCATGGTACAATTGACTGAAGATGCATAAGGATGTCAGGATTCAGATGCAAACTCATTAACTGTGAACAAAAGTCGTTGAACAGTCATGTATCTCTTCAGAACTCAGTCCACACAATGTGACAACAGACTATTCCCAAGGGTATTTATTATTGGGAAGCATTTCACTACAAAATAAGGCAGTCTCTCCCAAATGCATCTTATTTTGACATGTTGTCATATTTTGTTGACAGTAAGTTTTGAGACTTTTAAGAGACTGGATGTATAATCTTGAGTACATTAGCCCTTGAAGGTTGTTATAAAAAGTAATATATTTGAATTTCAGTTATATCAAAACCAATTCATTTTGGCAAAGAAAGAAGGAAAGCATCCTGAACTGGATGGATTGCATCTACAGTGCTCTTATTCACATGCAGTTACTTTTCTTGAACTTCAAAATGTATAAGTCTGTTCAGTACTTCGAAAAATGGCACTTTTACCTCGTTAAACATCAAGTTGAAAAGGTCCTCCACTTTTTAACTTTAATCCCAGCACACTTTCTTGTTGTTCAACTAAGAATGCTCAGTCATTCTGAAATCATTTTTTGTTTCTTTGTAGTGGTAATGGTAATGCGCATTTGTTTTTTTAATTATTTCCAGAGCAACGCATGTTAATATCAAACTCATGTTTCAAAAAGTTTGAATAAAGAAATCACAGAATCACAGAAACTTGGTGTTATAATTACAACTCTTTTCCTCGCAAGCTGTATTTCCTTGCAATTTGAAGTTTTTTTGCTTTTAAGATGGGCTTCTAAGCTTTTCAGGTTATACAGGTGCACACATGGTCACAGTAGAGAGTACAGGTAAACATGAGTTGACATGCAGTATTTATATCGGTTGATGAACCCATTTAACTCCTTTCTAAGAGTTTTTGGGAAGAATTTGTAAGATTTGTATAGCTGGAAAGCCAAAAATTACCAATTAGTAACTGATGAAAAGAATGCATATTTACAAAATTAACATCAATAAACATTACTCTGATTATACATAAGTGACTGGACAGCACATTTTGAGTTGCATATCACTTTTTAATTTCATTGAAGCAAAAGTTTGATCCATTACAGGGTCTCATATGCAAAATGAGAAACAAAAACATGACTAGAGGTTCTGTCTTGGCTAAGGATTGCCACAGTGACATGGCAATGGTAACAAAGTCTCAACAATACTATTTTGATACGGATACAACTGAAGCTAGAGTGAGTTCATGGGGGAATCACAGATTATATCAAGTTGGCATACACCCTCCAATGTACAGGTACATATATATACATGTACAAAGAGCAACACAGTTCAGAAAGTATCATATTCCAGTTACATTTCAGCACAGTTTCTCAAACAAACACTTCCAATTGGATGTGATAAGTTGCAAACAACAATGTTGAGCAGACAGAATCATCAAAAAGTAGGTGCAACTGAGTAGCACTTCTAAAAGCTAACCAAAATTCCATGAGTATTCACAGCCAACAAAGTACTGTGACAGATACAAAAAGGAGAGGCATCATGATCATATGAATGGATTTGGTGTAAACTACAAGGTATATGTATTTCTGAATGTTTCTAGGCACGCTTTAATCAGCAAATTAAATATCCAAAGCTGTAACTTCTTGTTCAGCAGATGCCTAGAGGCCCAGTGAGTTTGTCCTTTTTTTTTTTATGTGACTACAAAATACATGTATAACGAATTGCACAACTGTTCCACTAAGCACAAGTAATACGTATAGAAGACTCACAAATGCAATAACTTATAAATACCATGATTAAATCTTATAGCATAATACTACTGGATTAGAAATGGGCCACTCAAATGACTCCGCATTCCTGAATGAATTCATAGGGTAGGTGGACAAATGTTTGGTTTCCATGGAAACTCCAGTCAAATTATTTCTTTCTACTCAAGTTTTTAAGAAGCACCCTTGTAAAAACAAGCTTTAGTAATAAAATATCATTAACACGATTCAGTGCAATTACTAAGAAATGGACCAAAAGCAATGCATTGTTGATAAACTTAAGCTGTGAAGCCCTCCAACCTATTCATTACTACATGCATAATAATTGCCATGAACCTAACATCCCTAGAGCAGGTCACAAACAAGCCCCAAAATAACACTTTCCAATATTTGGATTCCTAAATTGAAGGGCATTCAGTTCGTTAGCACAATACTGTACAGGTACATATATATGTAAATTTTATCACAGCCACAACTAATAATTTCTGAATATTACCTTTAATTAATTTCAATAAAAATGTCTTGCCTGTTTATCACTAGTACTATGCTACATACTTTGTTGCTGAGTAGCAAACCCTTACACAAGTTGAGCATCACTGTTCAGAAGACAACCAATATTGAACTTGATTTCTAGAAAATTCTCACTGGTGTCCCCATGACTACTTGATTAAGTGAGCAATGAGCTTTATGGAGAATAAAAGATGGAGCTTTTTAAAAAGAAATAACCTCCTTTTCGGCAACACACCACAAGCAAATGCAGTCGTATGTTACTTTACCAACAAGAAGAGGGCACTGTATTTCCTCTTGTTACTCCCCATGGATTAAGCACAGCCACTAATCACTGAGGATATGACTTACATGTACCAAAGTCAGGGAACATCCTTTGTTCTCTAAGTGTTGTCATCTCTGGTAAAGTGAAACATGTACATCATACTTGTATATATATATCTAGTATGGAGTGTACATCAGTGATTTTGCAAGCCAGCAGCATGCGCAGAGACAGGTGCACGGAGTCAACATTGCACCTGCCTCTCCATTTTGTCACCTGGGAGAGACTGAGGAGAAGACGCACACAGATACATGTACATACATTCAACTCTCATAAAATGTCTTCTGGGACTAGTCCATTTTAGCTTGTCACATTACCAGTGCCTTGTAAAACAGGACTAGAAAAAAAGAACAAAAGAGCCGGATTCGAACCCAGGCCCCCAGAGGTGGAAGACGAGGGAAAGAAACACTACACCAACCTGACTCCCCCCGGGGGGGGGTCCCCAATCGCAGGCAAGTACATACAAGTGTGTAGCTTCCAATTTTATCTTTTCATTTCTTCACAATATTCATGACCTTTTGAGTTCTGAAATTGTCTCCTTTGATGAAACTTACAAAAGTGACATTAGAGATTATCTGGGAAATGTAAGGCTTTAAATTTTTACCAGAGGAGGCTGTAATTAAAGAACGAAAGATTCTGGCAAACAAACCAGAGCTGCTCAGCAAATACATTTATCCTGTAAAAGGAAACATTTTTCTAAAAGAGCTTCACATCAATACTGAAATTTAGTACATTATTAAGCAACATGCTATGCTGAAAACCTTTTGTCTTTGAAACATACATAACCAAGCCATTACAGTTGTTAATATCTTTATATTTATGTCATTTATTTACAGGAAGAAGAAAAATTACAAAACAACACACCCAAACTTTCACTTGAACAAATTCTTTTGAGTTGGCTTTAGATTCCAGAATATAAAAACATGTTGAGAAACTCAGTTCCTCTACATTTGCTACAAGTTGAAATAATTAGAATAATTAGAGAATTTCTCGTGATGAAACAAAAATGTGGAAAATCTCATTCCGAATAATGAATTGACCGAGAACTTTGATGGCGGCAAACATATGGGTTAAAGCAAAGGGTAGGGCACTTAGCACAAGACTGGCAAACAAACTTGTTATTAAATGTGACAGTTTTGAATCCTACACCTTTAAGTTTTAAAACTGACAGCAAGACTCTAAAGTATGATGACGAAAAGAGCCAGTTAAAGTTACTTTTGCTGAAAAAATATTTAGTGGGCAAGTGAAACTTATTGTGGACCAGTAAATATATAAACTAACTTTGCCAGGTGGGTATTCAAGATCAAAGCTTAAGGCCAAGGCATGATGTATGTCCTTGAAATGTGGAAACTCAACCACAAGTTCTTATATTTCCCAAACCACACATCCATTGGTTTAAGTACAGTTTGATTACTTTTTTCTAATAGGGTCCAAAGCTAAGAAAAGGTAAGACATTGACATTTCCATCAATGCGTCTGTCAAACACTCCAGTATTAAAAGGTAAAGGTGAATGACAAGAAAGCAAGGGATGCAACTTGTGTCCTAAAATGCATCTTACAGAAAAGGCTAGAAGTGTTGAGTTGAAGAGTGAATGGAATACAACATGTCAAAAACAGGTGTAATAAAATGTGGCAAATGGACCTACTGACTAGCACATGAACAGAAGCAGTGTAGAACTTACAGAGTGGAGAACTTACCTTTTAAAGTTTTAATTTCAAGTTAGATTTTAGAGGGCTGAAAGGTCTTCTTTTGCCCTATTTTTTCTAGCATGCCATGCATCTAAGTAGTATTCAATATCCCATGGAAGAAGTATATACAAGGAAAGAATTCACTTAAAATGCTCTGTATAAATTAATAAAATCTGTAACTTTTTAACTCACCAACCTTGATATATGTAAAGTAATTACAAAGCTTCATCATTAAATCCGTGCAATGTTAGACTTGTTACCAATCCCTTAACTTCAGTTTAGTAATACACAATAAGACCGGACAATTGTGAATCAATCACAGAAATATTTGCACCTTCTTACGACAATGCCCTAGGATAATCAGTTCATCTTACAGAGCAATTCTTCAGATGGACAGATTTGCAGTGGGAGGATGTCACACAAGATATACAGCAATGCACCATGGGAGATGGCTGGAGCATGTGCTGCACTGTCTCAGTCAAGTCATGCATATTCAACATGAACAACCTTGGAAATCAACCATTTTTTGTACATCGTACCATAACATGTTTACTACACTGATGAATCTCCGGCATGCTGTTAATGCCTGTGCTATGGTTTTCAAGTTCCCATTTTGGCCATGGTTACAACATTCTTTCAACATGTTCCCACCAGGAACCTAGATTACATCACAGTTTACCACTGCACAAAGACATTACATCTTGGGGTCACTCTGCAGCCCACAATGACCCCAAAAAGGTCCAAGGAGCCAATCATGGCATATACACGTGCTTATGTCTGCTCACAAACTTTCAACTTTTTTTAAAGCAGATATTCTGACTTCACTCTTCAAGATTTTGTCTTAATCAAGGATGCCACTTTGTCATTAAAAAAATGACAATTTCGATTTGGCAAAATACATTTTTCAATTTAAGCCCAAAATCCATGAAAGACAAAAACAGGACAAATTGATAGCCTGATCAGATATCCAGACAAAAAATAAATCCTATTATTTCTTGACTAAAAACTGGATGATCATTATTATCCTATAACAGCTGACGTTTGGAGGAAAGAATACGATCAACTTCTTGATAAAGCTTTAATCAGCAATATAACTGAAACAGTCTCCTCTTTGCTAAAGACAAAAACACAGATTTTGGCAAAAAATCAGGATATCACAGCCAAATAATAGCAGAACAAAGAGCATGAATTTGTACATATTTGTACAAATTCATTTTATCCACAACCACATTAAGCCAAATTGTGGTACTAAATCTACAAAAATGTACCATTTCCAAATCACAAGTCTTTTCGGCTGATTTTCCTAGGGCCTGTAAACATGTCTACCAAACTAAACCTACCCATCATCTCCGATGCTATGACTCTGGGGCTTCTTTGCTGAAATACGGAGCTGACTCATTGACGAGAAGAGTATGACAGATATTGCATACTGGCATCTTACGTTTACGTGGACCACTATCCACGGTGTGACTAAGACACTCAGGACAGAAGACTTTACCACAATGCATACAGTGGTGCTGTAAGAATAAAAAATGAGCTCGGGTTGAGTTGTCACTAAAAGGAAGACTCAGTGGAAGCAAATGAATGAAAATGCGAAAAATGGAAAGAAACACTAAAAATTATAATGGGGAGAAAGCCAAGGAATTGGTTCAGGTACAACTGAATATGCATAACCTTGGATGGATTTAACCAACCAAAAACAACTCAAGAAACTTGCACGAGGTTCTAAACCAAGAGTTCTTTAGTTTTTTGTAAAACCCTCTGAGATGAAAGAATTGACACCATGGCTGTGAACAGTCTTTGGCTCACCGGGTTTTGACACAAAGCATTTACTTTGGATGAGAACTGGTGAACTAAGAAGGTGAAAAAACATGGGAGATACAAATATTTATTATTAAAATTCTGAGCAAATTCATACAAAGACCACCTGCTAAAACTTATAACTAGGACTCAGTCGGCACTTCACAATGTTTATGTTCTCTGCTATATGATTTGGCAACACGTTAACCACAAGTTGGAAACATTTCTTCACAGCTCCTGCAACATTCAGTCCTAGGTGAAATGCTTGCCTCTTCTAAACATTTTCTGGTCACTCACTTTTTTCTTCTTGGAGCTGAACGCAGCTTTACACCCTCTACATTGCTCAATATCATCTTCATGTTCCCATCGTACTTCATTATCTTTTTGTCGGATGTTCTCAAGTTGAACCTGTCCACAGATCACAAAATTGATAAAAAAATCCTCCTCAAACACATATCTCTTTGCTACAGTAAATAAATAACAAAACTTCAACAACTAATTTTGTGACACTTTAAAGGAGTCATGACTGTACAGCTAGTAAATTTTACTTCGCATTGGAATTGATGCCCTGGATTTCTTCAAGGATTGAGGATTCCATGGGGTTACCGCATAGTATTAGCTCTTGGGATAATTTGGAATAGCTCTAGGAAAAAATGCTAAGAATGCAACTAGTTCGGTCAAACTTATCACTATTTCTATGACAACATTTTCATCTGGAGTAATGAAAGATTTTGTTGAACTGAAATCCATGCAAAATGCAACAAGACACAGTGCTCTGACAGATGCAAGTAAGGTCTATACATTCAGTGGCAATGACAGTGACAATCTGACAGACCCAAGCAAGGTCTATACACTCGCCTTCAATGACTGTGACAACCTGACGGACCCAAGCAAGGTCTATACACTCACCTGCAATGACTGTGACAACCTGACAAAGTCTCTCTGTACTGCTTCACTATTATCCAACTCCACTTGTAGAGACTGCAACTTGTTTTTACTTTCTCTAGCCTCAGCCTCTAACTTGCTCTGAAGAAATAAGAAACACATACAGGTGCTCAAATGCCTGAAACAATAATTGCTGGGACTTGTCATTTGGCTAGTTTACGGTGGTTTAGGGGTTCTGAACTGTGTACAACTCTGAAGTTTAACAAAAGTAAAAAATAGTTAAGTACTGATTCATGCGTGTTGAAAGAAAACCAGGGTATGTGTCTATTAGCATGTGTATGTGAAGTAGTTTTAATTGAGTTAATTCTCCGGTAACACTCAACCACACTCTAGTAGGCGCACTCTAGTAGGCACGCTCTAGTAGGCGCACTCTAGTAGGCACACTCTAGTAGGCGCACTCTAGTAGGCGCACTCTAGTAGGCGCACACTAGTAGGCACACTCTAGTAGGCACACTCTAGTAGGCACACTCTTTGTTGACACACCTTAATCTGTTGTAGCTCCTCAACCTGAGCTTGTAAGGCAGCAATGACCTCTCTGGACTTGGTTTCAATGTTTTTCTTGGATTCTTGTATTTCCTGCAATGTCCGCTGCGTCTCTTCAAGGAGTTTCTTCTCCTTTTCAAAGTCATCCCTCTGACTTCTTAATAACACTGTGATAGATAACACCATTCGTCATTGTACACTTCTTAAGCACTTATTGTTCAAATGGAAAGTTCCCTTCACAAACTACATCATTCAATTAATAGACTGTCTGACATAATTTTGTGGATTCCCCAATTCCTGAAAGACGTCACAAAAAATGATAAACAGAGAGTTGGTTTAAAAATGTGATTTACAATGTGCATTTTGAAACACTTTTGTCCACTTTTGTCAACGTTGCCAACTCAATGGATCAACCCTCATCCATCTCAACATTATGATCTTCTTCATTAGTACGGTTGCAAAGTTTCTCCTCATATTTCTATTCATCTCTACCCTCACTCAATATTTTCCCCTTGAAATCATCATCACCAACACTATCATGGTAGTTGTCATGGTAACTCACTGAGTTCTTCTTTATATTCTTCCATCTCCATCTGATAGGTATCTTCCAGGGTCATCTTGGTGTGTTGTTCTGCTTCTAGCTGTTCTTTCAGGAAGCTGTTTTCATTTCTCAACTTCTCCTCGATATGCTCAGCATTGACACGGACAGTAACAATATCCTCCCTGTACTTGATACATAAGGCTTGCAACTCCTTCAAATCAACAGCATAATTAGACAAGTCTGATTATGTTCAGCTTTTACATGTCCACAAATCAACAACTCACATATCATCTATTAAATGTTGAGAGTAATACCCGAGTTGTTTTTTTAATCCTAACAGTCCCAAATCCCCTAATTTCAATACAATTTTACATACACCCTTGGGGGTTAGGGTTATCAAATCTGTGAGAATTCTAAAGACAAATCCGAGATTGTACTTACCTCTGGACTACAAGGCAAGTTGAAATCTTCGGATGACATGAGGGACACATGAAGGGTTCTCTTTGCACTCAAACTATCATTCTCTCTCTGTAGTCTGGTAACCTACAAGATAATCCCAAGGTTATCAAATGAAGTCTGGAGTCTAGATCCTTGAGAGAGTGATCCATAACCATATCCCAAACAACTGTCCATGTATTTCAAGTCTTCCTGATCTGATGTTTAATTTTTAAAGTTCCAATTCAGTTCATATCTTGAATGAAACCTTGAGTATTTTGTTGATGACTTTGTACAGCAACCTAGAGCAAACTACTTGTCATATTGACCCCCGAAAATAATCTGCACTTTGATTCACACATTGTGTCTATGTCAGAAAGTGTACGGTATAAAGCAGTTACTGATTTAACGTAAAGAGACAGAGACCTCACCTCTTGATAAACCTGTTCCCTCGATTCCATCAACTTTTGCTGTGAAAAAAAGAAAACAAACAAATGTAATCCTGTGACTCACTTGAATGAGTGAACAACTAGACTATGTATGTTCAGATTCCACTGTAAACAACTTTTGATAATCCGATTTATAGCTATCATGATTGAACGGCCACTCAGTTGTAACCTTCTCTGATTAATGTGAATAAAGTCTTCAAAATCAAGTATCAGATTTTTATTTTCACTACTTGAAGAAGATCTCAATCCTTTAACAGAGATACTGGCAGGGGGCCAGTCAGGTTCTTATCTGAAAAATTAAAATTAGGCATGGAAAGGCCAAGTATACTTTGTGAACCAGTTGACACCGGATAACGTGTAAACACACACAAGTTTCCTTATGTGCTCCATGGAGGACGTGTATACTCATTTAAGAATTCTTGTTTTATTTCCGCAGGTGAAGTATTTAATGTCTTAGTATGTGAACCTGTTGACATGTGGACATGCGCCTCCAGTTTTACCAGGGCAGTTGAAAAAAACGGGGAAAAAAGAATAAAATACTGATGCCTCAACTCAAGGGCTGAGCCTCCTGATATATTTTATGAGTGTTCTAAATAAATTGCCTAAATAATAGGTTGAAGAATTTGCAGGGAAAAACCTCCCCCCAGCAGCTTTTTTGGGAAAGAATATCCGACATTAACTGGTTAAAACACTGATGATGTTATTTGATGTTATGTGAATAACAAAACTGAATCAGACATTAGACCCTGTTTTAGTCAATCATACTCTTATCTTGTTGGGAACTGTGTTGAACACAAAACACAAGTTCTCCATTTTCAATTCCCTATTTCCACTCCACCCCCAAACAACTCAAG